AAAGGCTACAGTTCACACTTATGTGAACCAATGGCTACTCCTTTACAACGCTGTCTTATCTGACAGTGGTGTGATAATAGGGTCTCTAACGGTGGGCTCCAGCTCATTATTAATTAGTCGCGTCATTCAACATTATGTAGTTTATCAAAATTTCTAATAAAATGAAAATCAAGTGTGGCTTAGAGCATGACGAAGTGCATCGATTGATCTTTACTCTCTTTTTTTTTCCTTAAAATAGTAACAAATTTAGACGAACTATCTATTTTGTACTTAATATAGTATAGATCTAGTGCCCTAAGCAAAATTAATCCCCACCCCCCTAAAAAAAATATTTTAAAAAAATATATATATATTTGCGCCCCCTGAAAACCTCGTATCTTGACAAACGTCAATTATAAATGATGGCTACAATTTTATCCGCAATCGCAACACGGTCAAGTTGTCTTGTAAGTTTCAGTTTCATGAAGCTTTCAATTTTTACCCGTTCTCTCTTTTTCTTTCATGTTATTAAAAAGAACGTAAGAGTAATATCGTTGGACTATGTTAATGATCAGGGTTAGTCACTGGATTTACTACCCATTGAATGTAATAAGGTTTAGTTGTAGATGTTTACGCTCCAATCGATACAATATGAGAGGCAGCGTGGTGAAATCAGGCTCTCGTCAAAATAATCAAAGTTAACAAACTGGCATTTTTCTGCAAGTTTGTGAATTTTTATCGAATTTTTGTTTTTTTGTCTCAACACCTTGTATGTCCATTCAAACATATTCTTACGTGTGCGTTTTATGGAAAAACGTTGATTAAAGGCACGAAAAATGTAAATCTGACACTTTCCAATGACTCTTGAGCTATAGAAGTCACCAAACTTAGGGGTCCTTGTTTTATAACAGTACTGAAAATACATATTTGCACACGGCGACCTGTACCCATTCTATTGCTGCATTTCTCGGGCTTTGTTTAATGATGCAAGATTATGAAGAAAGTATTTTTTAAAGTATTATGTATGTTTAGTTCTTCGTCATCGGTCTTACCTACTGCCACCACCATTGGTTGTGTTTGTGTTGAAAATAGCAAAAGCGTCATGATCATAATATTATCTTTTGTATTTACTTTCCCTGTTGGCGTTGTTTGTTATCGTAGTTATTTACCAAAAGGTTTATCAATCTTTTTTTTCTGTTGGCAGTAGGCTTATCTATGTTAATGTTGTTCCTATTGTTATCAATGTTATTCTTTTTGTTGTCCGTAGTCGTTTCGATTAACAGAACTTAGTGACGACGGTGAAATTGTTGGTTTTTTGGTGTTTTTTTGGTGCTGTTGCTGTTATTATTGTTGTTGTCGTCGTCGTCGGCATCGTTGTTGTTGTTGTTGTTTTTGTTGTTATTGTGGTATTGTTTCAGCCATTGAAGTAGTAGTAGTAGTAGTAGTAGTAGTAGTAGTAGTAGTAGTAGTAGTAGTAGTTGTTGTTGTTGTTGTTGTTGTTGTTGTTGTTGTTGTTGTTGTTGTTGCTGTCGTTGTTGTATTATTTCTGTGTTTGAATTTATAAGAGAGAATGACAATAAGACACTTGCGTAACTTTATGACAGAGCGTACGAGTTTTTCAGCACGTAGGATCAGTTCAATGGCCTAATTTCTGTAACTAGTCAATAGACAGATAAAGACAATTACATCACTTACAACTGAAAGCTCACAGTATACATAAGCCTTTACACAACTTTATTGAGCTAAATATGTTATTAAAAGCTGCACCCGATAAAGAGTTGTTACCTTTCCTGTGTCGACGCTCGCGATTATGATTATTCACACAGGTATTGCAGCAGTGCCACAAAAATGTGACGTGGGTAGAGCTTAGCAAGTATTGGAAGCTACTATACCGTAAACCATAATATAGTGACATGAATAAGTCCCCATGCACTCAATTGGGTGAAATGGACACGAGACTATTTTAGCAAAACCTAAACACCTATTG